AAAGTGCAGCCCATGCAGTCCCTCACCCTGTGTGCAGGCACTGGCACCTGTAGCTCTCCTAGGTTTGGCAGTATGATGGCCATTGTTGTTACTATACCCCTTGAAAGTACACTTCCAAACCAAGATGGCTAATTTTCAACATGCAGTTACGTGCTCTCATAATCCACAGCAGTAACCTTCCCCTGGTAAGGCTGAGCAGGTCGAAATAATTTGAGCTTCACAGGCACGATGCCAGGCAGAGCAGGGGCCCCAAACCAGGTCTCTCCGAGCCTTGGGCAGATGCCTGTTCTCCAGCCATGTTGCATAGTAATGATAGCTCTCATGGGTTGCGGTGTCTCCATCAAATTCAATTGAATTCATTTTTTTCCCAAAGCAGCTCCTCTAAAGAGATGCCAGATGACGCCAAAGGTGCAGCCTGTGCATGCCATCGCATCAGCCACTTCTCCTGGGCAGAGACATCTGCTCCTGTTCTCCCATAACCTGTGCAAATTTTCCAGCACAGCAGCAGATCAGGGAAAAGCCTTTTTTTGGAGAACAGAAAATGTGAAGGAACAAACTTGAGAGGAAGGGCGACACCTGAAGCCAGCATAAAGGCTGAGCATAGGGCGGATGGGCAGCAGGATGTGTTGTCGTGGGATAAGCTTGTGAAAACCAGTGATGCCCAGCTAAGCAAGATAAGGCAGAGAAATGGTCTTACTTCTGGGACCCAGTGGGACCTCCCTGTAGATGTCTCTTGGCGTTAAGCAAATTGTTCCTTTATTTTTCTCTCATAATGGTTGTAACTGCCACTCTTTCTCCCACCCCTTTTCCCAAGTGCAAATGTTCCTTAAAATGCAATGGAATTCTCCATGGAATTACTGAAAATACAGGTGCAACAAAAAGGCAGAAAATGAGAGCTTTTCATTAGCAGGCATTGTGGCCCTCATACAGAAATTACTTTCATAGTTACTTTACCCTGTATAATTACACAGCAAAGCCCCATTTAACATCTCACTAGGTAACAGCAACTTTCTGTTTCAAATCAGATTAATGTAAGATTTACCCAGCCATTTTAAGAGATAATAGCGGTGATTAAGGTGTTTCTTGTGATGGGTTCCTATTATAATGTGGCAGATGGTTCTCTGATAGTCTTATTGGCTGCATTAGTCACAATTTTTTTTCATTAATATTGACACTATTCTCTTGCCACACAAACAGAAAAGCAGGATATTCAAAATGTTGCGCTGGTTTCCTATGCTCTGGGCCCTTCTTCGGGGCTGATACTCAATTCTTAGCTTTCAGTAGGAATAAAAAGTGGTTTTTGTTAGATGTGCAGGCAGCTTCACCCATGTTATTTAAAACAATATTGTGAGAACAAAAGGACATAATTATTTTACTAAAAATCTGAAAATTAAGACCAATGAAACTCAAATGTTACAATTTCTAAACATCTCATCTGGTTCCAGTTTGGGTGTCGGTGATACGAGACTGCTGGAGGGTGTTCAGACTGGGGAATGAGGCGAGGGTGCATATATTTGGGTTCATTATTCTTGGGAAAAAAATTGCACAGACCAAGGAACAAGCTGGCATGTGAGCAATTTGGGATTGTGAGGCTGGCTCAGGAAATCGGGGGTCTCTAGTGGCAAATCTCCATGGTGATGGCTCAGGATAAGCAAGCAGCTTGTTGAGGTTCAAAGTGATGGGAGAAAAGATTGTGTCTCTGTAACATCATTTCCAGTGAAACCAATGAAGTTAAACGAGGGGTGGATTTGAGTTAAAAGCCCTATAAATGTTCATTTTTCACAGGTATCAGTTCTACACAGTCGACTGAAGCTGTCAGAGGCAGTGTCTCCTGAACAAAGTTGTCATGACAAGTCATCCAGAAAAAAACTATGTGAAATGCCAAAAATGAGAAGGGCCGAGAGAAGCAGAAAGGATGATGGGAGTGCAGGGCATGATCTCATATAACTCACAGCAAAAAAGGAGGCAAAGCAACAGCTTTGCTTTGAGGAAATTCACACACTGATTTCTACATCCAGCAGTTTGCCAATTAAACAAGCAAAGGAAGAAAACCAACCATAAAATGACACATTTGTGAGCACTGTGTATCTTGACCACTACACTTGTGGTAGCAAAATGTCGTTTGGAAATATACTTGTTAAATATGATCGTATGAGTCAGATAAAATTGATTTCAGTAGATTTGCATACTATGAAGAAACAGAAAACTGTGAATCCCTTAATGCCAGTTTTCTTGAGAAAAACATGAAAAAACCAAGGGAAAACAATCTTGGCAAATATTTTTGTTCACTTTCTGCATTCCAATTCTAGTTACCAAGATGCAGGCTCCTAAATAATGTGACATCCGCAGAGTTTTGTTGGCAGAGGATGCACTGATCAAAAAAGCCCCAAGCCTTCCTCGCGTATTTTCAGTACATTGACGGCACAGAAGGCATCACGGTGTGTAAATGCTTTGGAGTTTTCAGGCATGATGTTTTCATATGATTAATGCAAAACACGTATTTTCATGTAACCATTCAAATATGAAATAGTATCTCATATTTTAGTACCTAAGATAATCCACACTGTACATAAAAGTACCCTTCAAATTCACAAAACGGCAAAGAGCTATGCTTTATAAAAATGTATTGCCTATGCATCTATAGTAGCTTAAAGGGCTGAAATCATCAGAGCCTGAGAGCAAAGGATCCTACAGACTATTTATTATTGAAGTGAAAATCATTGTTAAAAATAAAAAGTCTCTGCAAGCAAGGAACACATCTTCTCCATCAGAAGTCTCAAAATGCCTGACTCCTGAGATAACATTGGCTTCTAGAGGCTAGAGGGTTATAAGACCATAGCTCATTAATAATTGCCTTGCTGACCTTTGTCGCATGAGCTCAAATCCCACTGCATCTCTGGATGTTTTGTGTTGCTTATGGAGGACTTGCAGCTCACTTGGGCTGGGTCCCACTGGGATGTGGCTCTCCTATATGGTCCCTGCAAGTGAGGCAGTGTGCATGGCTGTTTTCCTGCTCTCTAGTCTCTACTCTGGACACAAAAAATATCCTCATGGTAATGCAAAACTAATTAAATTTTTTAAAAATCATAAAAAACCCCTCTTCTGACCTCTGTATATAAACTTCTAATCTACGATCCCCAATTACTTTTTGCTAATGTTTTGTAAAATGCTTTTGTAAACTCACTTTTTTAAAGCTAATAAAACTATTTACGTGAACTTGCAGAGAGGAAGGCTTCAGCAAACTCAGTATTTAAAAAAAAAAGCCCAGACTTGAACAAAAGAAGCAAGATACATTGTGACACCAACATATCAAATCAATTACTGCTCAGTGTCTGTTGAATAAAAACTATTGGCTGTAAAGAATGTGAAAAGCACAAGTTTTCAATAAAGATGAAGCATTGTGTAATTCTTGAAATGAGAGCTGCGGTTGTATACGGTCTTTAAAAGATTATTTTCATTTTAGGTTAAAAGCTGCTGTATTTTTGGTGAGGCAAGGCAGGATATTCTTGAATTTATACTTTAATAAATGAGAAAAAGTTCTGCTGATACCAATAGGGATTAAACAGTGGTAACGTGGTAAACCAGAATGGACCTGTTATAACTGAAAAATACAAATAGCAAAGACATCATACATGTATGAGTGGAAATATATTGTAGGAGATGGTACAGAAATTGCTCCCACATCTGAAGTAATAGAAACTATAGTTTAAGAAAATAATAATAACAATGAGAATGATATAAAGACTGAAAGAAGAGAGAGAAACAGAAGAATATACTTATAGATGTAATTATTTTGGCTGATAAGTGACACCCTATTGGAGGTATGATGAAAAGATGGTTGGTGATGCACTTAGCACTTGTTCTGCCTGTGATCTTATCAACAACGTATGTAGAAAATGAGCACATCTCTGAATTTGTGTATGTTTTTAAGCGCTTCATTGACGAACATCTCCATCTCTATTTGTGTTGAATGAAGGTAATTTCTGATTAATCCTTTTAAAACCAAGTATAAAGGGAATGTTTCATTGCACCACCTTGTGCAAAGAACATAACCAGAAGGACACTTGTAGTGTCAAATCTGGGTCTCTCATCTGTAGGAGATGTAAATGCTGAAATGTGCAGGAGCTTTGCCAACAGCCCTTCCTCTGCAGTTTGCTCTTTGGAAATGAAGAAAGGATTATTTGGGCATGATAGTGTAGGTGTGGCACTTTCTGAATATGCAGTCAGAGCCTTTGGAATAGGGAAATATGTGGCACAAATGATGCTGCTGCCATGAGCCTCCGGGATCACACTTGTGGCCCTGGGAGTGGTAGGAAGTTTTAAGTTCAATAAAGGTTACAAGTATTTACTAAATGTGACGTGTTTAAAAAAAAATAAGCATGTGCTTAAGAGTTTTGCTCTAATCAGGCTGCTGTCCTTCTAGTTTTTCAGTTTATGGAAACCTTGTATATTATTTCAGTTTCGGTTGGAAGAAAGGCTGATAGGCATCATAAAACCTCTCGCCATTTAATGTGCTTTACGTAAAATGGCTACAATGTATGGTCTGCGGCAGATGGCTTTCCATACATAACACATAAACTTCAATTGTACTGAATTTCTGTAACTGCCATTTTTAATTTCTGCACAAAAGCACTGTCATCCATCCAACATTTTAAATGCACAAACAAAGCGCGATGCTCACCAAAGTAATGACTTCACACATAAGGCGACCACCTGAAACACCTGGTAGCTGCACTCTGAGAGCACTGGCACGGCATTTTTAAGGAGATGCTTGTCCCTAGCTTAGGGGATGGGCAGGGCAGCATTTCGTGGGGGGCAGGAAAAGAACAGCAACCCCTTTTCTGAGCAGCTGGTATGCTCGTGGGCAGAGACATTGTTAAGGGGACCCAGAAGTGGCAGGACCACAAAGGGAGTGGCGGAGCGGGGAGACCCTCCGTGCAAATCCCACTCTGCCACACCTTCATGCAGCCACCCTCCAGCCCAGTGGTGCAGTGCCCCTGCTCCCCACCACTTGCCCAGCAGCACAGACACACTTCTACAAGGAGCAGCAGGCAGATCTCACAAGGGAAGCAAAACCACAAGCATTCTTCCAGCTACGGGTTCATTTTAAGCCCGAGACACAAAGCTAGTTCGGATTTCTGAATTTTTCCATCCTTGTTCATGTCGCAGTGGTTGAGCAGGATCTGGCGGAACTTGTCCAGGTCCACCCCACTAATGCTGGGCTGCAGGCAAAAGAGAAAAACAGTGCTGAGAGAGAAAACAGCTCTGGATTACCCCAGCCCTGTAAAGCAGCAGGCTGCGCAGCAGCCGAGAAATCCACCCAAAGAGGAGTGACCAAACAGCCTGACCCCTTGTCAGCTTATACACAGTGGGGCAGCAAACAGAGAATGGGGAAAGGGCACCCTGCAAAAACAGAAGGGGTATAGGACTGTGAGTAACGGTACAGAAATGCAACATGAATTTTGTGCTTAGTCAAGGCCATCAGTATCTGATCCATACCAAACAAAAGTCTGCAGAAAGGTGTGCAATACAGATTGCTGCACTCCTGGACCTGTGCTTTCATCTGGTTTCCTCTCTCAAAACTGCTACATGAGGAGTGATCTGTCAGCAGACTACTATTTTATAGGCTAGTCAGCCACTTAAAAATACTTTTAGTGGATCAAATGAATGCTGAAGACACATTTTACAGGCTACACTGTCTCTGTATGCTCCTAATGCTGTATACTTCCTCTGCTTCCCACTGTCTCAGGAGGAGATCAAATTCACATGCACAGCTTGTGGTGCCCAAGGATGATGCTGATGAAGGCCCTTAGGGAAAGTGCAGTCTTCCCTCTTTTGCATACACATGCACAGAGCACAAACCCAACCTCCTGCCTGTCCTCACACCCTTCCCTGCGTGCCACGTGGCCATAACATACACACGCAGCCATCAACACACAGCTGCAGTCTCTGCTCTCTTCTGAACGGACATGGGAGCTCAGGCATCCCTGTGTCGGGTCACATCATGTGGAAATGTACAGCTCAGGCTCAGAGGGAGCCAAAGACCAGACTATATTTGGATCAAAAGTTCTGTCTTGGACTCCATCTGGAAATTCAAGGTAATCCAATGCAGATAGACTCTGTTGTCCATGAGAAACTGAAGTGACACACTCAGAATGGTATTCTTAATTAGAAGCAGACTTCAAGCAACATTGAGTGTAGTCCTGTGATGAACTAATGAACTATGAGGTCATTCTGGTGAGGACCACACCCACCGTGAAAACAGAAGAAAGAACTTCTGATCGCTGGTCCGCGTCAACAGTTTGTGATGCTGTAACATCTGCCTAATTCAGAGTATGAGCTAGAATGGACCTTTCTTAAATACATTTGCTGAGTGAAGCTGAATTAATTTGTCAGGCAGAATTTCTGTGATATCATGAAATGCTCTACAGTGTATATGCTGAGATTGTGACATTCTTCTGCTGATCAAAGTGAAATTTGACTCTATGTTCTTACTAGCCTCTCTATTTACATAACTTTTCCAAAACAAGCACTTTCCTTTCAGAAATACAGGGTATTAACAAATAGAAAGAGCCATGAAACTACCTTGACCAGTTCCATCATATCTTTGACAAACCCATCCACTTCTGGGCCTTCAAGTGCCCCTGTTTTACTCTGAAAGATGGAATACACACAAAAACGCTCCAGTGAGTCAAAATCACTACAATGTTTACTGGTCAGTAGGTCCACCTGGTCAGCAAGCTTTAAAACATAAAGATCATAGAAACACAGAATGGTTTGGGGTGGCAGGGACCTTAAAGACCATCTAGTTCCACAGGCAGGGACACCTCCCACTAGACCAGGTTGCTCAAAGCCTCATCCAGCCTGGCCTTGAACACCTCCAGGGGTGAGGCATCCACAACTTCTCTGAGCAACCTGTTCCAGTGCCTCACCACCCTCACAGTGAAAAACTTCTTCCTAATATCTCATATCTAAAATCTCTTCCTTTTCCTCAAACCATCTCTTCCCCTCAAATGGGAGCAACATCTCCCACCATTTTGTCAGCCTTGTTAGTCACCACACTGAGGGAGTTGTGTGACTGTCAGAAGTGGCACTGAATTGCTGATTTCTAACAGGCAGTTAGGCGGTCATGTCTGTCCTGGGCCAGACTGCCTAAATAACCCCTGGAAGCATTTTTATTTTGCCAGGTGTTGGTGACATAGGTCCCAAACTGCCAGAGACTGAGAGAGCTAAAGCTACCACCTCCTCTGTAGCCCTTGCATCTCCTGCAGGGAGATGCTTCTAGTGCAGCAGTGCTGGCTGTGATGTCGGGGAAAGTCAAAACGGGTCCTTTGCCATGGGGTCTCTTAGCATTGCTCCCCTCTGTCCCCACCTCACCCCACAACCTCTGGCCCATGGGCTCAGGCACAGCTGCAGCTCCTGAGTGGCCTGCACAGCACCCCATGGGAGGAAGAAGTCTGAGAAGCATATGCTAAATCTATGTCATTTAAAGACCAGACAGGAACTGCCTCTGGGACTCACAACATCATAGTGTGCAAAGATCTTCTCAAAATCTCTCCTCCTTTCTTCTGTGCTGCAAGCCTACATGTGGAGAGGACAAACAAAAGAAAATTTTTTTTAAAAAAATTCAAGTTTGGGCCCAGGTTATCTTAGCTGAGAGAGACGGGATTGATGCATCAAAAAATAGTGCTACTTACATCCATTTTAAATTGAAGAAGGAAATTTTCCTGAAGCGACAGAATCCTGAATAGAGAGATTTAAATTACAATCTTTCTGCTTTATCACCTGCACATAAACTATTTTGAACTCTTCTGGTTCGTAAAGCAAAAGGATGATAGATTACAGGCCTTTGAAAAAGAAAACTGCCTGCAGGGTTATTTATGGAGGGCTGTTATGGGAACACGTGCCTCCCTCCCTGTCTGATGGGGAATGGCAGCACCCTTCGGCTCACTGCAAATGTGTTTCTTAGCACCATTGCTTCTCCCAGAGCATTTCTGGTGGTCCAGTGCAATGGTAGGTGGTCAGCCTCTGAAGCGAGAGTCGTTCCTTGTAACTGGATTGCTGTGCTGCATTAAAGGAACAAGTACTTTATCATGCTCTGTTGGAGGGAGAATTGGTGGTTGTAAAAGTAAAGGACAAAGTCAGCACCGAGACTGAGCAGATTCCTCTCCTTTCTCCTCATCCCTCCCAAAGCCCCTGACAGCACTGGTAAAAGCTTTTCTCTCTCCAGCTGCTCGGCAAACCCTGAGGGTTCTAGGGCCCATGACACCAGGCATGCTGAGCTGTGTCCACACATGGAAGAGTTTGGGGTGTGACATATGTGCTCAGACCTAACGGAGCAGTAGAGAACCATACTTCAGAGGAAAATGCAAGGGCAAACCTTTTTATTCTCCATTCTGCCTCTATTTCTCTCTCTCTTCGTGTATTCAGTGGTCAAAGGGAACTGCCACATGCACCGCAGTTATTTGTGCTGGCATTCATCATGATCCCAAGCAGACAAGTAACTGTGGCAAACCAGCACTTCTCTCCTCTCATCCCCCAAACTGGTGTTTTAACACTGTACCTGCATGTTTAAAGTTCCATCCAGTCATTGCACATACATTTACAGACAGAGGCATACTCTCTATCTGTATGCAGTGAAAATCATGTAAAAACCTCTGAGGTACCAAGGACAGAAAAGAGACAGAGGCCTGTGACTGAGTCCCCAGCCTCATTCACAAGCATCTTCACCTTGTCTCTCCAAATCCTTTCTTACTGCCACAGCCAAACTCCTTTGTGGTATCACCTTTTTTCCATCAAACAAGCAGCAAAAATTCTTTGCAATCCCTGCTGCACATGATGATGTGAAATAAATGCACATCTGTGACCCTGCTGAAGGGGATTGCCATCCTTCTTTTGGGGAAACAGTGCCACTGGCTGCTTCATCACCTCCTGAGGAGCATCTCAGAGGTAGCACGGATCATGGATCATGCCAGAGCATGTTGGTGATGCACAAACAGGTCCTGGCATTGCTCACTGTCACCAGCTCTAGGTTGTCAGACTATTGCGATGGGGACCATGTGTTAGAGACCTGGGATACCTATCTCAGAGTACCTGATTTAACTTGAAAGGAGATAGGATTCAAATGCACGTCCCCAGAGGGGAGAACATCACCTTGCCTGGATCTGTCACTGCAAGCTGAAAAACCCCATCAATATATTAAAGCCTACCTTGCAAGGTCATTCAGGTCCAGCCGTCCATCTTTGTTTTTGTCAAATATTTTCATCTAAAAATCAAGAAGACAGAGATGAAATCATAGAATGGCCTGGGTTGAAAAGGACCTTAAAGATCATCTAATTTCAACCCCCCTGCTGTGGGCAGGGTTGACAACCACTAGAGCAGGCTGCCCAGGGCCCCATCCAGCCTGGTCTTGAATGCCTTCAGGGATGGGGGCATAGACAGACCATGAGGAGAACACACATACAAAAAGGCCAATATACATTTTGCTCTGCTCTGTACCCTCAACTTCGCTTGCTTGGGGTGCTTGGTCAAGCCCACAGAGGCACAATTTCCACTGCTAGCACCAAGTGCAGGGGTGGCACAAGAACATAGCAAAACCCTCCTGCTCTCTGACAGTGACAACCCAAGTAATCAAATACCAGCACTGCTCCCTTCACACCTTACACAGCGATAAAGACAGGTCTCCAGCAAATGCCTTAAGAAACGAAATTCTGCCCTTGCCATGGCCCCTCAAAAAAATGCCAGAAGAAGGGGGAACTTCTAAACACTTTCAGCTAAGGATAAGGACTCAGTCCTTATCTTTGACTGTTGCTGTGGCTACCGAGCAGCTGAGGTGCAAATGTCACCTTCTGGTAGGTGCTCAAGTGAGGGTTTTATGCCACTAAAGCCAGTGGGCTTTGCTTGGATCAAAGCTTGCCATCAGAAAGTGCTAAGACTGGGAAGAAGACTCAGGCTGCCAATGTGAAGAGATTAATCTCTGTGAATACAAAACTTATCCTTTCCTTAATATGATCTTTTCAATGAGTCACTACCAGATATTAATTATTTATTTATTGTGTTTGGTACTGTGTTTCTCTGCAAGGCACAAATAAGAGCCTGTTATTGGGGGAGATGTTTAATGGGTTGCAAACCTGAATATCTCATGGCTCAAAGTTCAAGAAAAATGGTATTCCACATGGTAGTGAGAGGAAAATATTAATATTTTACTAAGATGGGTTATCATTCCTTGTGAGATACTCAGTAATGGAATATGCATTAATCTTCATGAATCTCATTTGCTTATTTAATGGTTATAAGTAACCCAGTCACTACAAATCTTTGGTGTAATTGCACACCGTACCAGTCCCCATCTCAGGAGGCTTAGGGGGAGACAACCATCCCCTGTGACACAGGCTGACCATGCAGGAGCTCTGGGGAAGGCCAGCAGCAGTGAAACTGGGGCAGAGTCTGACACATGGTTGAGGAGAGATATTATTTAGAGAGCTGCCATTTCTCAGGGAGCCCTTGCATAAATACAATACCTGTTTTGTCAGTGCTGCCTCCTCCCTGCCCCTTGCTGAAGGGAAGGCAGCTGCGCTGAGGATGGCAAGCCTATGGTAACCCTGGTTTAGGTAAGACTGTGCAATAGGATTTTATGCCATTAATTATTCTGTGTGTTTTACACTACTGCAGCTTGGATGGGATTTTTGAAGAGCAGTAGGTACAGGCCCACTTCTCCCACGGAAAGGCAGTGTGAAATTCTTGTGAATGATTGAAGGCCCATGTTGAGATCTTTGGAAAAATGACGTCCTGAGAGCAATGTGGGTGCTCAGTGGCACAAGGAAAGCTGCTTTCCCATTTCACTGCCCTCTGCTGAGCATGCACTTTGTGCAGAGCCGCTAAATGACAGAAGAGCTCTGAATCTTCCTTTTCCCCTAGAGCTGGAGAGAGGAATAAAGCTGACGAGCCATCCCGAGGACTTCTCTCATGCTGCATCAGCCCATATCCAGCTTATCTAACTTCTTCCATCCTGCCTTCCGCCCCATCAGTTATCCCACTGCAATATGGGACTTTTCCCTGGTCTCTGCTGGGATCACAAAGGACAAGGCTGGAGGCAGAGATGGGAGCGGGAGCTGCCTTTGCTGGTGCCACTGAGGGGAGAAATGTCCTTGCAATGACAGCCTCCTGCTGCCATCAGAGAGACAAACCCAAGCTTTCAGTTCCTAACTGATAAGGGAGTTATTCTGCAGGCAATAGAAAATGGTTAGTGTTCTTCCTAGAAATAAATCATCCCAGATAAGATTTTAAAAGCCTCTCTCCAAATGGGACATCAGTGCCTAACCTGGCTTTGTATGTTGTGTGAGGAAAGAGGGAGATAGAAAGAGGGAGATACCCTTACCAGCTCCCTTTTGCAGATTCTCCACTCCAGGTGGCTTTACAACATCCAGCTTAAGCTATTACTCTGCAAAATACTCCATAGAGGAAACTTATGGAGACAACCCCTATTTAGCCAGCTAGAGTAGTGGTGGGAATACCATAGCCTCTAGGCTCTACAGTAATGTAAGCACTTTTGAAAATGTCACCTAAATCCCTCCATTTAGGCCACCGAGGAGCATTAGTTACCCACATGGTCTGTGAGAAGTCACCATAAAGTGGGTGACAGAGGACAGTGTTTAGTGGGAAGCGTGGGGTGAAGGTCTCAGGATCTCTGCTGACCAGAGCAGGACAGCTCTGGCTGAAGGTACTGCACTAGACTTTTCTTAATGCAAAGATACAATGTCCTTACCAAAGCACACTACAACTTACGGCCTTTAGCAAGCTTTGAACTTCACCTGGATTCTCCTACACATTTCTGAGTTCCTGAAAGTGGTTTTTTTTATTTTCTCCCATTCTCAACACATCTCAGAAGTACTCTCTTGAGACTAACAGCCAGTGTTCCAGCCCAGAGCTTAGATTCAGAGTCCCAGATATGCTTTCCCCTCTGTGATGGCTCAGGAAAGCAAATACAGAGCTTTGAGAGAAGTTCAGCTCCGCGACCATGAGGTCCCGACCTCTGTAGAAGGTCACTGACAAACACCTATAAACGCTGACTGTGCTGGCAGCTTCTGGGACCAGGACAGACCTGGTGGTTCCCAATCCAAGAGGCAGACTTAGGGCCCATTTTTCATTTCAGATAGGCCTGTCTGGGACAAGCCACAGGTTTCTTTTTCAGTAAAATATCTCAAGTCTCATCTCCTTTTCCACAGAATAAATAAATAAATAAGCACCCTAGCATAGGCACATTCTTGTCTTGGGACTTTGAGTGTCCTACTTGCCCTGCATTTGCTCTACTGTGTGGGTGCAGCAAGTTTCCATGGTTTTAGAAGTCATAAATAGCTATAGGACGCTGAAGAGCTTTGTGCACCCTTAACGAAACAGGCTAGATTAGAGGTTATGGTTTAGATGTGAAAGTCTTTCTGCCTCATTATCAATTTTCTGAGTCAGTGGTTTTCAACTTTATCCATTTCTGAACCCTTTACAGCATTCCAGCAGTAGCGCAGACCCCATTGAGACACATTTAACTGCAGGGATAATACTTTCCTTAGTGGAGTGCTTAATGAAAAGCAACATCCCCAGTCAATTTGTGTTATTTGCAACCTGTCTTTGAGCTTAACATTAACCTTGCAGTGGTTGAACATGTCTTCTAACATGTAACCAGCTCCCCTCTCTGACCTCCTTCACTCAGCTCTGGTTTTGCAATACCAAGAAAGAATCTTTGTGTTTTCAAATTGTTTGGCAGGTATCCTGAATAAAATTTTCAAATATATGCAATATTTTGATTGCCCAAACCAGTCAACAGAGAGAAAAGAAGTCTGACTAGAAGAGCTAGGCCGAGCTAATTCTTGTCTAGTGACTTCCACATGAAAGATGGAAAATGGGTAGGGAAGATGGAGTAGTGCTCACTGAATTAGTTCAGGTACCATGGCTAATAACATAGACCTAATCCTATTATCTGGACAACTAGAGCTCATGCATACATACCCACTACATGGCAGTTTTGGGCTGCATTACTTGGGAAAAGCCTGAGGAAATATGTTTATTGATTAAACTTCCAAATTTCAAGCATTGATCTGATCTGCTAATTGTGTACAAAAGTACACAAAGAATGAGAGAGGGTACCCACACCATATGACAAAGTGTACATCGTGGGAGAAGCAGATATTTGGAACTGTTATGAGGTTGTTTCTAATTTAAACTTTTGCCTTTACACACAATCTTGTGTGTTAAACTTGATGGATTTTCAGTTTACACTCTTGAAAGGTATATTTATGCTGCCAGGCTGATATGAAACATCTCAATGTGATTAAGGATAAGGTCTGGCACGTTTAAATAGCACTCAGTTTTACTAAAAGCTTTGTTGCATCCAGCAGTATGCTTTATAAAATGATGCATTTATTTTACTGTCAAGTTATTCTATGTTTTAAAGTGTTTCCACAAATTAATTCACTGACATTTTAATGGCAGTGCACCAGGGAAGTCTTAGTTCTGTTTGTTTGAATGTAGTCCGTGCACTCAGAGGCAGACAGAGCTTAAGTAAGAGCCAGGTTTGCAAAACAGGAGTTGTTACATCTTGGGTTTTTAAGTGCAAAATCAAAACTGCCATTGGCTTTGAATTCAGCAAAGGAAAAATATCTCTGCTTGCCCCGCCCAGTGCTGTGAAGAAGGCCAGTGAAACACCAGGATATGACAAACACATGCATACTTTGAAGAGCAATATAAAATGATAAACCTGAATTATTTTCCACGACAGAGATAAGGAGGGAAGTAAATAACCAAAATAAATAGTTCTGTGATCTGAGGAGTCACTAAAGCTTGCTGAGCACCTGCTCCCTGCCAACAGCTCTTGGTCTGTGCCCATGGGAAGACGACAAACCCACAGACTGTTTTCAAGGGTTCAGAACTGCACAAGACTGTGTATCCTCTCATGCAAGTGGGTGTGTGTAAATAAATATTAATACACACAATGACTATTAATACAAACATATATATACATAGGCATGAAAACTAACAAGAACTCTGCCTGCAAAGGGGTCTCCTCGGTACAGAGTTGCTACTTTAATTCCCTCATGAAGAGGCTTGAGAATTCAAATGTTCTTCCATGACTTTCCCCAGTGGCTTTAGTGCTCTCTAAGATTTGGTTTAGCAGACTCATGGGGCTTGTGCAATGCCAATGCATTTGCTACCTGTTTTCTTTCCAAGGTTTCATCACCTGTTAATCAAATCCCTGATCTATATCAGTGTCATCTGAAGAGAGGATGTGTGATGGATGCACTTGAACCCTTTTACCAAACTAGCACTGTTTTGGTACAGGCTCCAAAGAGCTAAAGGCCTGAGCCATAGCTGGACCAAGAGCTCCTCTAGTTTCAATCTGTTCTCTGAAAACCCACAAAAGAGCAGAGTGACACAGTGAGCATCGATGCATGTGAGCACAGAACACCGATCATGCACATGAAAAGCGGGTGTCTTTTCCAAGGCTCATTTATCAAGGAACAAAGGGATCTGTGGGTACAAAGAGTCTCATGCATACCTTTTCATTGCATGTAATTTGACTATGAACCAGCCATTTTTATCCCATTAATATGACAGCCTAAGAGAGTTTTCTTTGATCTCTCCCTGCTAGGCAGTGTGGCTGCATGGCGGTGATCTCCCCTTGAGCTGGGACACCTCTCTAGGTTGCTCCTCAAAGAAAAGAGACTTTCCACCTATGGCACATCTTGGGAAGAGCCCAAGGTAAGCTCTCCCTGAACTGCAGTTGGACTGCATGCCAGGTAACCATCCCCTTGAGCAGGGACACCTCTCAAGATCTGAGACTGCATACCTGAGACCAAGAAATCTTTCCTTGCCCAAGGCAGAGATCCCTTACTTGCTACAGGTCCTCGGTAAGTGACTGATAGCATGCTGAATTAATGTTGATGAAACATTACTAATCAGTGCAGTTACTTAATGTTAATTATTTGATCTTTGTATAAATAATGCCACTGGACATGAACTGTTGACCGAGTCTGGGACTAAGTCTGGATTCAGCCACACCTAGGCTCCTCTCTGAGAAGGAGTTTAGAAAGCAAGGGGGTCCACTCTGAACCTTGTGACTCCACACCATTAGACATAAACTGTTGACCAAGTCTGAGACTAAGACTGGACCCAGCCACATCTAGGCTCCTTAAGGAGTTCGGAAAGCAAGGGGGTCCACTCTGAACCTCATGACTCAGTGGGAGGGTCTTTCTTACACTTGTGTGTCTTCGGTCTCTGTGTAAATCATTCTAGTTCTATTCTACCTCGATTTTCCCTTGTATGTTTCTTCCATGTATTAAGCAATAGAGTGAACCTTGCCATCAAATTTTGTTAAGACACACTTTCACAAATTCATATTAAAATCACTTTTGCTAATACTTTTGATGGTGATTCCTTAAGCAATCTAAACCACTCATTCTGTGACAAATTAACATAGTTGGCAGGATCCTAAATCAGCATCTGTGATGGGATGTCAAGGTTGGTCACAAGGAAACAGAACAACCTCTTAAGAAATTACTTCTAAGCAACCTTATAAAGTGATGTTCCTTTCTGGAGACAACGAATCTCTTTCAAAAAGAAATTCTTTCTCTCTCTTCCCAGCCTTTTTCAGTGTGCTATACAATAATTCATAGCAGCTTAAGTAAGTGGCAAGTATTTAGCATGCTCTGGTCAGTATGATATCTGCTCACGCTTCTCAGAAGTTATCACTGAAAATACTCAACACAGAATCATAAATTTTTTTTTCTTTTTTTTCTCATGCCTGGGCTAGCTTCTTTAAAATTATAGTTTCTAGCTCTTCCCCTTTATCTCTGTCACCAGAAGGCTCTAGGATCCACTTAATATATCAGTATCTGCTTACGATGTGTGCAGCCGACTGTGGATATGCAGAAAAGAGGCCAGAGATCTGTAAAGTCCTATGGCAACAGATGGGTTTACAGCTCCATGGGACACAGCTTATTACAACTGAATGTTATTACAGGGGCACTTGAAAGCCCTGAGTAGGACAGATGGGCCACCCTGAGAGACACTGTAGCTTCATCCCACAGAAACAGGTCCTTGTCCCAAAGACCTTGTTCTCTAAACAGAGAAAAGGGTGGGAGGAGAGTAATAGGGGAGGGAAATGCAAGTGTTTCCACTCTGCACTAAGGGGACTGAGGCTGCTGGTTGCTAAGGAATGAAATCTAAGGGCCATTGTCCCTCTGTTTTCCCAGACAGTACTGATGGTGGTGGAGTCCCACTGGGACTCTGCACTTCATCAGCTCCCCACTCCACATAGAAAGCAGAGAGAGAAAGCAAAGAGTTCTTATTGCCCTGGGCCTTGACATCATACCTTTGCTCTTTGCTCCTCGAGTCGCTTCTCCCTTTTTAATCCAGCACTGCAAATGTAAGACTGGATCTTTCTTTCCTCCTTGTAATTTAGCCCTCCTACGTCAAGTAAGCTCCCATACAAACACTTCATGCAGTACATCTGCTGCTACAGAGATACTGTCCATAGAGATACTGTCCACGTGGATACCTTGCCATGATGTACAGAATTTATATCCTCTATTTTACTACAGGATATCACAGGGTAGGTTTAGATGTGTTGTAATTTCACACACTGCCTCAGCTTTTGAGATCAGGTGTGTTTGTAAACATCCTTGATCTCCAGTTTATAACAAAGAATCACAAGGGAAAGAAATCATCGGCCATATCCTTATTTTCTAATAACCGTTAACATCCCTGATTCTTTTGGCATTGTGGCTTTGCAACCTTTTGTCCTCATGAGCCAGATTTCCATTTCAGATCATAGATTTCCCCAGATATACAAAGCTTCCCTTTTCCTAGATCAAATCTTATCCTGTAGTGTTGCCTCTAAGATACAAAACCAATCTATAAAAAAACCAGACTTCTTGGCTGTCAGCCCTGGGCTGCATTGATATCTAGCTGTGTTGGGGCAGCAGAAATAGCAGATTTTTCTTGAGAAATTATGGGAAGGGGAAAGAAGTTGGAGGAAATGAACCACCCAATGTCTACAAGCTTCAGATTGCCTGTTCTGCAGCACCTAATCAGAGATTAGCCACTGGAGATGGAAACCTTAATGGAGCAGCATAAAAGCTATTTGCTACCTGCAAGCACTACCAGGAAGGTTTTTGTTCTAGCTGCAGTTTATGTGATTTTATTGTTTTCAGGCTCTGTCAGTTGGAAAACAATTTCTGTAGCTTGCATTCCTCTCCGTTCACTGTCCTATAAATATGAAGAAAAGCTATACTCTTCTGTAATGGTACAGTTTTTTCACTCTGCTCTTAAGGGTCACATTTTTAGGCACAGATGCATCATGCATACATAACATGGTATCGCAATATATACGGGCAGCTTCTTGTTTGCTTGCATACCAAGCTGTTCTATAGGTACAAACACAGATTTTGTGCCAACAATCAAGGCAGTCCCATCTGAAAATTGTTTAGAAAACTGCAATGGTAGATGCCTACTAGTGGAATTCAAATTATACCCTTGACAATGACATCAGAAATTAGCTTTTTTTTTTCTTGTTTTCACATGGTTAGATATAATAAGTTGCTCTGAAATCCAGGTGACTGATGTTAAACTTACACCAAATATTATGTTGCTGATTGCAGGATAAAAACAATATTGTGATAAGGCAGGGGAAGAGTTGAAGCTTTCAACCTTCCAACCTTTCAGGGAAGCGGCAGGGAGCCAGCAAGGCTTGCTGGGTTTTGCAGAGCAGAAGAGATGGATAACTGTGTGTCTTGGGAGCAAAAGGATTTGCTAGGAGGGAGGGAGGGAAAGAGCTGGTGATCTGGCTGAGGCTGAATGTATCCTGAAGAAGAATACACTTCAACTACTTTTTTAAAAATGGGTTTAGGGCTCAGTTTGCTTTGGTGTAAAGTTGAGCTATTTTCTCATAATAAACAGTTCAACTCAAAGGAAAAATATATGAAATGCTGTTCACAGCTGATGTCCAGTTTGGTGCAAAGAAACAGCAGCGGCATATGCTAACTTTCCACAGGGGTCTTTTGGAGAAGAAATACCTTTTGAGAGGGCATCTATGGCACCAAATACCCTGACATTGACCGTGAGGGAGACTTTTAGGTAGTACTATAATCTAAACAATATTAACACTATCTTTTCTTACCATAGTATCAGTATATTCTTCCAGCTTTACTTCAGCAACCGTCTTGTTATGCTGCAAAAAAAGATCTCGCAGGAAATCCTGTAGTAACGAGAGAGTCAACTTTTACTCTTTAGAGTAAATTCAAGAAGTAGGAGTAAGAAATTTGATCCAAATTCAGCAGGGTTACATGAATCTAATTGCATATTCTTGATCAGTACTACTGTCTTCATTCACATAGAGTTCATTTTTTTTTTTTTAGTTGAAACACTTTTTTTTCAAATAAATTAGAAAATAACCAAATTTTCCCAGAGCAGTCAGGATGGAATAAGTCATAATTCACCCACAAAACAAGCAAAAGATAACATAAGTCCTGCAGTTTTTGCTCACTGATCTCAAATCAAAATGGTCACCATTCAGCAAGACACTTGAGCATTGTCTCATGTCACCGGTGGGGCACAGGCTGGGGCCACCTGCTGGGAGGTCAATGTAGGGTCTGCAGCCCTGGGATGGACTTCTGTGCCTGGATGGCTCAAAACATTTGAGTTATGGTTTCTGAACAGGCTTCTGCTTCAATAGCCTGAGCTTTAAAAATAAATTAGTGTTCAGAAAATCTGCAGGCTCAGGAAGAGGTTGTGAAGAAATCCCATTAACAAAACAGAATGGCTTTGGCTCTGTTTAGCTGGGGGAGGCACATGTGCAAAGCCAAGGTGACGCATGCAAGGGGGAAGCAGGACAGAGAGGGCAACAGCAAAGCGTCCTCCCACCTGGCAGGGTCCCTGCAGCTGTGCCAGAAGGCTGAAGAGTCCCCAGTCCTTAAATTCACTGTGAACAACTTAGAAATGCCATTCATCAACCACACAAAAAGGCAGCAAATTGGTAAAGCTGATGGAAAGGCTCCCACTGACATCAGTGAGCTGTAGATCAAGCTCAAAGAGACTTATTAGAATAACTTACTTTGAGCTCACCAGCTGAAATAAATCCACTGCTATCAGCATCGTAACTGCGCCAGATCTGAATAGACAGAGATTGATACAACCACATAAATATTGTAGTTAATCATCTGCTCCAGTGACAGATCATAAAGATTCAAATCAGGACTTCCCTAGTGAGCAAGCTGTTGCATTATCCAATATTTAATTAATTGTAGACGAAAAAGAAACTTTCCACACAATAGCTTCTACTTGCATTTGGATCCTGTACATGTGACATGCTGCTATCACATATGTAATGCAGACACACTGCCTATAAAAGGAAGAAAAGACTAAGAAACTGTTCTGTATTTCTTACGTAATTTGTACATGCAGCTTCTCTTACTGTCCTGAGTAAAAGTCAAGGCTGTACACAACTGGCCATTGATCCACAGTAGCCTCCAGTTTGGATGTGAAATAAAAGTAACTTCAAGCAGTCAAGTCATTTTTTCAAGTTGGAAAAAATGAAATTCCGTACTGGGAGACTTACAGGCAGAGATTGGAGGGAGATTGGACACAATTCAGGAAATCTTATGGGCTTGTGCTCCTCAGCTGTCCCCACTTCTGGAGATTTCCAGTCCACACCCTATATGGCTAATGCTTCAGGGTAAAGTGGTGCTTAAAACATGCCCCATCTGCCCTCCTAGTCTAGCTGTGCTGTGGGTCAGGAGCTGCAGATTCAGCTGTAGCTCTCAACAGGGCTGAACTTGTTAGTGGGAAGGTACTAAGTAAGGTTTTGTCTCTGGCAGCATGACTGATAGGCGGCTAAGAGTGTTTGCAAAGTTTAATGAACTCTCGGGGTGCCCTGGGTCCAGTCCAAGCTGCCACATCTCTGCTTAGATGGTGTGAATAATGTACAGCCTTCTCTACCTGAACAGGTCAGAACGTGTTTTGCTTCCACAATACCCCTGTATTTCCCATGCTATGTTCTACAGATGTTGTAAATGTACATATTGAAGAAGCTGCTGGTGTGCAAGGGGAAGAGACAATGCAGAGATACAGACCCGCATGAATTCCACGCTGTTGTCCAAGGGAGTTTCCCGTCGGAAAAGCAGCAGGAAATTCTCATCATCTGGCAAGATCATATTTGCAAGCTGGAAAAAAAAAAAAACACATTAAAGAAACCCCAAAACCAACCCAAACCATGAAAGTAAAGAAAAGAGAAAACTTGGGTGGCTGCTGACCCAGTATGGGAAATATAAGTCAGGCACATCGTTGCCTTGGAAATAAACCCCAGACCAAGTGATATGGCTACTGCAGTACTCTATGACTCACCTCCTCCCCACCCAGGCTCTATTTCCCATTTACCCAAGTCTGCTCTAGGTCCTAATTATCCCTCCTTCTGTAAGAGAAATCCTGTGCTGGGGCTGGAGGAAGATACCTCTTGGATTTGCAAGCGTCCATCCATGGTGACATCGTAGGCAGACATGAACTGCTCCTTCATCCTCTGAACCTTTTCTTCTGTGATGGTATTCTACCATGGAGAAAACAACACATGCATGAAATCTCTTCTTACTCACAGGCAGCCACCAGGATCACTGCATCTTTACAGTTGGGGGCTAATGCTTCTAAAAGCCTGCAAACACACCACCTTGGGTGAATGTTTGGAAGTAAATCTTATGCATACCTTTGTAGCAACTAAGTTTTCTGTTGGAAGACCAGTGTTAGGAGACCCCAAAATATTTCAGTGACACTTGCTTCTTTAGCCAACTATTCTGACTACATCACTGGGATTTTGTTTCGTTTGAGTGTGTGTTACAGTGGTTTCCATGCTGCTCATTTTCATCTTGTGCTATACAGGAAGAATGCCTTATCCTGGAACTGCATCCAGGTGACCCTCTCTGGGAGGGGAAGGAGGGAGGAGGATAACCCAGACTGGCTCTTGGCATACTTTTGTAGCATTTTTTGCAAGAGAATAAATTAATTTCTTCCCTACCCCTGAAGAAAAACAAAGGTTTATCATCTCTACGTCCAGGTGGAGTCAGGACTACAGCTGTGTCTTCCTGGGTCTTCTAACCCAGTTTCTTATCCTTTGGGCTATTATTGCAGGCCCATCAGGTTGTATGGTCCTTTTCTTACTACTCTGACACAAGATCATGAGTGACTTTCTCAAATTTACTCTGTGCATAGCTCAGGGCAGCTTGCCTGGCTGTTCAGAGGCTAAGCAAATACAAATCTCTTAAGAAAGGACACTCTCTGTTGCCTTGCCCTGGTGGAGTGAACAGCGGCTGTGCACACTCTGCGTGATGCCTCAGATTATTCATTGCCTTCTGTGCTCCGTTGGGCCCCGATTCTGCAAAACATGGAGCAGCAATTGCGCTGCTCTGCAAAATGTTGCACGGGGTCGATGGACATCTTTCTGTAAGGTTTGTCACCTCTGAGCAGAGTAACACAGCCAGGTTGCACACACAGCAACTGCAGCTCATCTTGGCACTTTGGATGGGTATTTGAAACCACCACGCTGGAAACTGAACATGCCTCACACCCCAGAACTTCCTCCACCATACCCACGTTCAGTAGTAGCCAGTTGACCACAGCCATTTCCAGCTGCTCTCAAGCGGTACTGCTGCACAGCCTTTGCTCAGCAGCAGCTGGCACAGTCAGTGACAGAGTTGTAGAGACACACTAGGATGTCACAGATGAGGTAATCAAACAGAAAACGAAGTATCTTCTGCTTAGGCTAGTTAAGCTGAGGTCTACCTTTGTACCCACTTTGTCACGAGCTTTCCTCACAGCTTTAGATGTGACTGGTGTTTGCAGCCAAGATTGACCTGCTGTTGGTGCAGACCAATAGCTTCCTCTGATTGCCTTTCTGTCCCAAAAACATTTACAAGGTTGGAAAAAACGTCGCATGTAATCTGCATGATTTGCTCCCCTTGTCCAAGCAAGGCTGCAAACTGCAAACTCCTGCTGTATTTGCTGACTGTCATCTGATTTTGAAGGTCTGCAGCCTGTGGTGGGGCAGCCTGGGCAGGCTGCAGGGCAGAGCCTGGACAGTGGGGCCAGTGGCTGGAGCTACCGATCCCTCCCTGAAGGCTGAGGGAGCAAGTTCAATTCTCTGGCTTGTTTGGATTTTTTTTTTAAATGTATGGTTTTGCCTCCTAATCAGGGCTGTGGCATTGCTACAACAAGGCAGAGACACTGGGAAACTTGTGGGTGGTTCAGTGGGAGCTTCACACCTAGACAGTAGGATGCTCCAGAAACAGAGGGAGAAAAGTATTCGGGCAAAAGTACTGTCTATGTAATATTCCAGAATTTATGGAGCCAAGGTAGGATTTTACTAGCCAAACATGTTGTCTGTGGTATTATTTATACTGGTGCGATGTCCTGGGACCCCTATGAGGGCTTCAGGACAGGGCATCCCAGCTGGGACTCCAAGCTTTGCTCAGAAGAAAGGAGAGATAGCAAGAGACAGATAGCCAGCAAAGGCAGTCAGCAGGGAAATAAAGAGAGACAATTTTTTAAAAGCTTTGTAGATACAGCAACCAATTACAGTCATGGAAGTATATCAAGCAGATTTTTTTTTTTTCAGTAATATTGGCGGTTTGTATGGACAAGATTCAGGTATCCCTAAAAGGGTCAAAATAACTATTTACAGGTAAGAAATCACAGTTGAGGCAGTTTCTGCGGGCATGGCCTGAGCAGGGACCCAGCAAGCAGCCAGTGGTGTGGGAGGGCATGTCTCACCCAGCACTGGGGCTGGAGCCGAGCTGGGATGCCAGGGCAGTGAGGGGCTGCGTGGGGGCTCTGGCCGGGCTGCCTCAGCCACCCTGCCATGAGGGCGCTGAGGGGAGGCCAAAGGTAAATGCTTGGCAGCTTGCTGGTCAAGAGCTTTGATTTTTTATTCTCTGCCTTTGGTCTCCTAGAAGTACCTCCTTGCCTCTCAGATTGGGGCAAGACCTATGATAGAGGGAGAAAGATCAGGAGCAGGAGAGCAAAAGGGGAGACCTCTAGGCAGGCACAGGCAGGGATGTACAGCATTTATACAGAAACACAGGTGCTGCGCCGAGTGCTATGGCCACCAGCTTCCCCGGGTAGTTTGTTTTTCCTTCCTTTCCTTTAATTATTAACTTGCTGTTCAACTACAGATTGCAACAAGCGGGAGAGCCTAAAAGCCAAGGATGCTCTGCTTTCAAACGCCTCAGGCTCATGCTCCGTGTATTCAAGTGCTACGAATTACAAGGGGGAGTAATAAAAAAAATACATCACCATTCTGTTCTGGAAAGCAATTGTACAAATAGCATGTTACAAATTCATGCCTGCTGTCTCTATGAGCTGGGGCAGGAGGAAATGGCTTCACAGCACATAAATGTCTGTAGTTGAGCACAGCTTTTTCCATCAGAGTGAATGCTGTCTTGACTATGCTGCCTGTCTCAAGCACCAGATCCCTCCCCAGTTTTAAAGATATGCAAAGCTTTCTCAAGTGTTCACTGCTTGGGCTAAAATTCTGCAGACTTGTTAGCAGTTAGATAAAATTTCCCTTTTGTGAATGTTTAAGCAAATGCTGTTGCATCCTTTCTCGCAGCTGCCTGTATAGGGAAACCTTTCTTGTCTTTCCTTGCTTTCTCTGCTGCATGCACCTCCCTGAGTTTCTGAAGGAGAATTTAATCAAGAGGTAATAGCTCTAATTGACAGAGAAGCACAATTTCCCCTAAATTGCTGCCTACTTAAGGCAGAAAGAGCTATAGAGATGCTCATGTTTAGCATCAGTCAACACTGTAATGAAGAGGACTCCCTGCCACAGTCAGGAAGACATACCTGAACTAGCATCCGCTTCCAGTTTAGCCCAGAGTTGGGCTGCAGAAGATTGTGGTTGCTGGGAGAACAAGTGCTTGTCTGGGAAGCAAGAAAGGTCCTGTAGCAGAAGTAAACCCCCAGCAATGTCTTTCCCGATGCTCATTTAAGGGGAAAAAAAACCCCTAGCCCTCTGCTAATTTCTGTGAAATACAATCTTCATTGGACCACAATGATGATGGGAGCTAGCCTGGAATAGAGGGATGCTTTAGCCACTTTTCAGGTTGTTTCATAGGAGTTGTAAAGCTTCAACTGCTCTGGTCCCTCACAGCTCGGATGCTGCATGGTTTCCAAGAGCCGCTGCATGTTCTCACTGTCCACTCAAGGAGGAAGTTCTTACTACATACCATAAGGAGGAAGCCACATCATTTTTGTCCTCAGAAAAGCACAGTTTAAAATACCATTGTGGCTTTGTTCATATATTTCTCAGGGTTAAGGAGTAGGTTTCTTACTATGGATGCTGTTCCACAGAGTTTTGCAGAGAAAAGCTTCCACACTTCAAGTTGCCATAACAAATTAATTTTCTGCTTTCTCCTTTCCATGTCCAGTCTTCATCTTCCCTTTTGTGAAAACCCTTTAGCATCGCAAAGGTAATCTGTTTTTTAATTCTGTTTGTAATACTGGGAAGGGCATGCTTACTTTTCTTTTTTTTTTTTTAATCTGCACAGCATTTAATTTCTTTGTCATGGTTGGTTATGACTCTTTGGAAACCTAGTTGTAATCTGTCTTCTTTGTTAATCCATTCCTTTTATATTTTTGTACTCTTGCCCCATGCTTTCTAACTAAATTTTCGCTCTCTAAGGGATCCATGTACTTGGCAGCATCTTGCCTTGATGAAAACACAACTATGAGTCATTTGTTTTGGGGAGCAGTGTGGAGACTTTCCTACTTGATGAAAGGGGATATCTCATTTAATTCTTGATGATTAAGACAGTCTTGTCATAAATTGATTTTTTTGTCCTTCTTGACATGGTTTTTGGAAGCAAGCCATTACGTTTATAAGGGTATAAAAAGCAAGAAGAAACTAAATGTAAGTGACTATTATAGCCTGTTTCTTAAAAAAAAAAATTAGGCTTATCTGAAAATGCTGGCTTGAGCATACGTTTCTCCTAACAACATTTCAGCCAAATTTGATAGAAGGGCAAAGGGTCCCAGAGATATCAAGTTCCTACAAGATCTATGAAAATAAATTATGGCTGCCAGGAATGCTAGTTGGAAAACAAACCTGACAATTATTACCATGCCAAAACCCACACAGTACAGACAGGAGGCCAGCAAAGACCAGATGAGAGAGCAGTAATGTACCCTTTGACCTTAGAAGAAGAACCTTTTTTTTGGACAAACTTTTCTCCTTTAAATCATGTAGCATTAAAAAAAAGAACCACATGAATGACTTCATTTCATCTGTGCAGTTGTACGTTGGATTGCCTGCACTAGCACAGGATTTCACCCCCCAGCTCCTGGGTCAATTTCTTGTTTGGGCCAATATTGCTTGATTAACTGCAGTGCTATCACTTGACAATTTGGCCTTTTATTTTCGTTAGGATTTACTATAATCCTGCATGGTACAACAGATGAACGCTTATCCTATCATCCTGCATTGTGTTTTTGTTCTTTTTTTAGCTCTCATCAGCACATACGTGGGAAATATTTTTTCATGCAGAAGACACTAGCATCCAACAAAGGCTATTACAGCCTTGCCTGCGCCATCAGGGTTTTGTGGTCAGGCTTTGGATAGGCTCTTTGTTCTGCCTTTTCCACTAAGCTGAAAGTTTTTGATATGCCTTTGGGCAGTGAAACACATCATGTTTGTTTTTTCCCGTAGGCATGTTGAGTTTGCATTTAGAGATACTTCCCGGCGCTTGCAGTGCCCTGCCTTAATGTGCAGGAACAGGAATAGGAACTGGTCAAGCTAATCAAGGCTGACAAAAGCCATACCTAAAGAAATAACTGTATTTGGCAATAAGCCGAATCATAGAATGGTTTGGGTCATCTAGTTCCCTGGCCAGGGATGCCTTCCACTAGACCAGGTTGCTCAGAGCCTCATCCAGCCTGGCCTTGAACACCTCCAGGGATGGGGCATCCACAACTTCCCTGAGCAACTTGTGCCAGTGCCTCACCACCCTTACAGGAAAGAATTTCTTTCTTATATCTAAATAATCAGGATTATCTCAGGGTTTAGATTTCTGAATTAGTCTGGAGGAGGATGTAAGATGAACACGTTCTGCTAGGGGTCTTCTTGCTCTCAACCTGCTGGTCACCAGAGACCTGGTCTGTGATCCTGGGTCTCATGGGTTGGTAAAATTTAGGGGAAGTCTGCTTCGGATGGCTTTGAGCCTGATCGATATTTTGGGCGTTAAAATTTGTTTGAATGACTAGCTGCTGCATTCCTGACCATACAAAGTTAAACACATAATTTTGATAGACAATACATTGTGCAAGGCAAGGATGACATGCAAGAGTAGCTGGAGGCTGCTCATCTTCTTTGGAAGTATAAAGTAAAGACAAATCCATTATGGCTGTTCATGGTGAGCTCCAGAAAATCAACTTCATTCCCTTCTAGTCATAACTACCCAGGTGGTTTGGGGGCAGGGGGATTACAACAAGGCTAATACCTGTCTTGCCTGATCAAATTTATACTTCAAAATTTTTTACACATGATCTCTTACACACGTACAGTTAGGTGAGGGCAACTGACTTTTATCTGAGAGTCTTCTGTCTAATTCTAGTATAATTTAAGCAAAGTGAAATACCTTTCTGTGAAAGCCCTGCAAGCATAATGGCAATGTGCATTTCCCTCTGTTTCTGCCCAGACACTATTGGTTTTACGGAAACTTTCAGTAACCCAAACCTAAAATTTATAGCCATTTATCTATAAAACTCTTGTCTAATTATTATGAGTTCAAACATCAGCTGATGTTTGGCTGACCTAACCTTGATTCTGCCTTATATCCCCCAAACAAAACAAACCACTTCACAGAAGCCCCTCCAGCTGATGGAGAATTTCTATAAACCAGTCCACCAGTGTCATAAATCCCCCATGTTTCACTGAAGCCTTATGTGTATGTAACACACACCTGGAAATGGAAGGCATTTTCTTAGAAATTAGAATAGAGTAGAGTAGAATAGTTCAATTGGAAGGGACCTAAAGCCATCACCTAGTCCAACTGCCTGACCAATTTAGGTCTGACCAGAAGTTAAAACATGTTATTAAAGGCATTGTCCAAACGCCTCCAGCAATTGCCCAACGCTGGAGGAGGAGAGACAGAAAGCAGCATCTGGATTTGGGTCAGTTTATTGTAAAGTTAAAAGGCATTGCCAAAATTCAGGTCTACCTTTGTTGCAAAGTTTCCCCCCGCCAAAAAAAAAAAAAAAAAAAAATTCTTGATGGTTCAATGAAAGATTAATTAGCCTCCCTTGCTGGATGGTATTTCAAATTTCCTTCCCGCTCAGAGCCGTCAGAAAGAGCTGTGCCTCCCAACTTCCCAATGGGCTCCCTTTTGCATTGTTTTCCCAGCTGCTCCCATCCCCTGGCATTTAGTGTCAGCTGGGGATGCTGCAGAGTAGCTGGGAAAAACAGAGCTAAAGGACTACAGTTGTCATTAAGAAAAATAACAGCTTAGAGAGTGAAGGCTGAAAAATATAATTATGAAGCCATTCACTATTCAAGCAGAGACAACTTCCAGTGCTGATAACGTTATTTATCACTTGTATAGCACTTCAGACACAGTCACTAATTAATCCTTGTAACACATCTGGAAGTTATGCCAGTACATATTACTGTCTCCCTGTTTGACTGTGCAGAGAAACAGAGACGTTAAGAGCCTAAAGAGGAAGAAAAGGTCAAAACGACACTAAACCACTAAGATGCTCAATCCCAGCTCTCTGCTTGTATCACAAAGGCCACTTTCTTTCTGCAGGATGGTGAAAACCAGTGCAAAGGGGGATCCTTTATCCCTCCCACTATAACCACAAGCCTGTACAACATAAATCATGTGAAAAAGATAAAAAAATGGCTCAATGTTGTTAGACAAACTCATTACACAAAGGTAATAGAGACCTTTGCTCAATCCAGCACTACAGGAGATACCCATACCTAGGGGAGTGGGGCAGGGGACTGCTCCCAGTGTCCCAGGACAAAGCTCCTCTTGGGTTTTCTGCCACTGAGGCAGGCTGCTCTGCCTGCTGGCCAGGAGACCATTTTGTCCCATCAGAACGGAAACCAGACTGCTTGCAAAGGGGAACAGAGCAACGTGTCATCTTACCACTCAAGGTAATACTGCTTGAGGGGAAATACTGCTGAAAATGGGCAAGGAAACCAGGGGAGAAAACCAGAAACACCTGAGAGCCTGTTTGAGCAGCCTGGCAGTTAGTGAGCACTGTCCTCCAGAATTAACCTACTTCTCCTCTTTAACACGGAGAGGAGTTGGTTCTTTTTTCCTTCAATTTGTGTTAAGCTTTTTCTCATAATGGCAGAACTGAGGCAGCAGAAGCAAAGGAGATGGGAGCTAGATGGGGGTGCTGGTTTAAGCTGGAGTCATCTGAGCAGTGACTTTTGGCAGTCAAACTGCTCTTGATTTCTTGCAGCGTATAGCTCATTGCTAGAATGCCCTTATTTTGCATGTATCTGTGTACTGGTACCTAACACAGCGTAACAGAGTTCACATTGACATCAGCAAGAGCACAAAAGCTGCTGTAACACACTGGGTTTGCAACCCAGCTGGTGTGGTGCTGTCTCCAAGTCGTCATGTGAGGGATGTGCAAGAAAGGGGCAGCTATGGGATGGAGTGGGGCTGGAAGTTTCCTCTCGACCTCTCATCATTAGGAAGCTGCCTGCAGTGTGAGATCCCTGGCTAAACTTTGGTTTTATCACTAGCTAGTTAACTAGAGACCACCCCACTTGGAGGTCCCTCACTTCAGTGATCTGCCCCAATATTGACTGAACTCTGCTGCCTCATTTTAGGCTTCTCCTTCAACATCTGGCGTTTGCTGTCACTGGGTTCATTTGAGCGTGCGTTGCGCTGGTGTTTCAATACCCCAAGACCAGCAGCTCACAATTTCATCTTTTATTCCTGCGTAAATGATAATGAGCTTTTCAATTTCTCTGCAAATCAGTTTCTCTGTATCCCTAATGATTCTTAACACTTATTATTGAATCTTTTTTTTTAATTTGCTTTAAAGTCTTTTTACACGCCTATCTGTTCATCTAACCATCCATGCTCTGCAGAAATGGCCATTTCACTACAAATCTACTTGCAAATTAAATAAAAACTCACTGCATTTTCTATTGTAGCCTCAAAGATCCAATACTCCTAATTACCTTGTAAGTATAATTCTGATTTTACTACTTGATATTCATGAATTTATGGCTTTTATTAGGTAGCGCCTTTTCATTAATTACTTTTTGCTTAAAGGAATTGTCTCATCTCTGGTTTTGGCACACCCTCTCCTTCCATTTGGAAGATGTTTACTCCTTTTCTCGTCTTAGTTGACTAAATGTTGTGCAGTGAAAACATTAAGTCTGTTATCAGACTATACTCTTTGTTTACTTCTGAGCAGCTGACCTGAGAGGCAGGATTTCTCCTTCACTGATGGTGACAATCAAAGGCAAAATATGACCTGGAGCTGAGGAAACCAGCCACTGTAAATTGTTGTGCAACTTCTGGTAGAACTGAGATACAGAGAGTGAGAGAGGGGAAATACTGTCAAAGTAGGAAAGAAAACCAGAGGAGGCACCCAGAAACACCTGAGAACCACATCTTGACCTTACAAGCAACAGAATTGACTCCTGTTTGGTTTCTAGCTATCTTCAGCAATATAGATGCACGGCTTCTTTCTAGGTACCATTTAAAATTAATGACAATATGTTTGTCAAATATTGACCTTGGAAACAAACCTATCATATTAACAAAACTAATCAGCATTCACTTGAATAAACCATCGCCATTGTTCTCCCCCCTGCCCTGCCAGACTGTGTGATGGTGCTTTTTCATTTGTTTCTACCCAAGAGCAGTAAACGACTTCCTCTCCACGCTTCCAACCAGCCCCTTCCGCTGCTGCCAACTGCAGCCTAACCGTGACAGCAGCTGTTAGACTGAAAACAAACAAAACTCTCAGGTGGTTCCGCTTGCTGTCATACCTGCTTAAATGCCACCTTCTTGCCAAGAGAAAAGCTCTTCACAGCGGGGATTGCTAGGGGAGCTAGCAATTGGAGAACAACAAATACAAACCATCTCTCAACGCAATGACCTTTCTACTTGGACTTGATGCGCAACTAACGCGGTGCGGTACTTACTTCTGGTCCCAGTTTCTCCAGGAGATGATGAAAAAAATTGTCAAGCTCCTTCCCTTCTATGTAACCATTGTCTAAATAAAAGTAAAATATATTAATGGTCAGGTGGTCCTGCCTGAGCTCCAGGAACCAGGTCATGTGCGGTGTGCAGGGGGCTCGAGTCTGTGTGGTAGGGTCTCAGCTGGGGGCCCTGGCTGCCCGCTCAGGGCGTTCCTATTCAATTTGATCAGTTCACGTCTATGTGGGTGCTTGGCACAGCATTGTGGGGCTCCCTTAGAAGTTTTCCTGACAGAACACTTTTCAGGGGAAAAAAAAAACCAACAACAAAAAAAAAAAAACCAAAGGGATCAGAACCACAGGTGTGAATAGCAGAAGGAACAGGGAGGTGATGAAAAGGCAAAAGTTTTGGGATGAAAAGGAGGATTTTTCAGACTTGATATTAGGGCATGAGGAGGAGCAAGAAGGGGGCTCTGAAACACCTGCAGGACCCCTTGGGGGTGCAATTTGGGGGTGCAGGCACCCACAGACACTCCACCCACCTGCACGTGCACCCAGACAGCACCCACCCAAACGGTCACTCTCCCCTCCTCACAGGACACCTACCTGCGTGGGCAACCCCTAGATGCCACCCACCTCAATGGGAACCCATCCACCCCAGCACCCACGCACACATCACCCGCACGCGAAGCGGCACCCTAGAGGCAGGCAACTCCCGCCCAGCACAACCCCCCGCGTGT